TAACGTTGAAACACCGGTTCCTGTATGATGACCAAAGTTAAGCAACATTGTCAGTATGTTGATGGGTGAACACTTGGGAATATCAGGTGCTGTAAATTTGGATGTGTAGGTGGTATAATGGATAATGGCTCAATTGTTAATTGGAGAGCTGAGCTCCAATTCCAGTTTACATGAAAATACCATTGGGAAAGGTAATAATCCACCTCTTCTCCTCCAGCTATGGGTTAATTAGTAAGACTTGTATCACTAAATCATTATTATCTCCAAAATAAAATAAAATTAAGAAGCTTTCCCAAAAAAAGAAAATATTTGGTCAAATTTCAGAAAGTGTGCAAAGTCCCCCTGATATTGGCACCAAATTGATTTGTTGGAAAAACATAAAAACATGTTTTAAGTTTGATCCAAGGCTAGAAACATGTATAATTCAATGAAACTGGAATTAACTGTTAATGGCCCATAATGAGATTGCATGCAAATTTCTGTACCAGAAGTAGTAGTAGTGGGATGGGAAAACAAAGTTCTCTTTTAAATGATTTGTCTTTCTACCTAGTAGGATATTGTTAATGATACTTAGGTATACGTCATGGTTGACTGAACTTCTCAAATAACTTCTTTTATTCGCTCATTACTCTTGATTAAGGATATCATTATTTCAGTATTAGAAAACAAATATTAATTTGTTTAAAGGTAGACAGGCATGTGACTTAAATTTTCACTAATTAATAAAAAAAATGTATTTTTATGGAATTGAAGCTAACTACATTTTTTGCTGTTAAAAGATGACTGATATGTTGAGTTAGTTAATAACTTTAGCATTGTCTCCAACTAATCCCTTTGGTGAAAAACTTTGTTTCTGTCCCCCACGCAAAATGCTGAGTGTGTGCTACCATTTCTTTTAATGCCATTCCATTTCCACTTATTATTCCCCTACCCTCCTATTCTTCAATAAGTAGATATTTGGCAGCCAGCTTTTTTTTTTTTTTTTTTTTTAACAAAGTCTGTGACAAAGAAAAATGCTCCTAAAAAAATCTCTGAAATAAATGACACCTTTTAACTGAATGCTTTCCTCATGGTACCATTGAATGTTTTTCAATATTAGAAGCAAAGCGGGAAACACAAGATAAAGTAACCTTTTTTTTTTTTTTTCACTTTTCAGGTATCAATTAATCCAATGTTTTATTAGTGAGTCTTTAACATATATATCTCTTTTGGGAAGAATATTTTCATAGATAATTAATGTTATCCTTAAATAGTAGATATAATTTAAAAGAATATATCCTTTTTAAAAATGTGTGTATACAAAAATGTGCTCATAAAGAAAAAAATATTTTAGAAAGATGTAAATTTGCACATATTTACTCTACATGTTTTAAATAACGTGTATATCCATCAGATAATTTTAACCAATTAATGCCCACTGTCCCATTTTTGGAAGGGGTTAAAATAGAGGTAGGTAGTCAATAAAATATATTTTAGTCCTGAGGCTTTCATGAATAGATTACATAGAAATTTTTTAAAAAATTACTTTTTATTTTTTATTTTATTTTTTTTTTTTTAACTGTTTTCTTTCTGCTAAAATAATAATAATGCTTAGTAAAAGTGTGAATTAATTTTCTTTCCTAGTAGAGAAGAAATAGATTATGTGAAAAAGAAAAAAATTGCATCCTGAAAGGTTAAAAAGAAAGAAAGAAAATGTACCTTTTTCTTTAGTAGATATTCTTTTTACTTGTTACTTTTCCTGTGGTTGAATCTTGGATGGATGGATTCTCCTTTATCACATTCAATGCTGGCTATTCATAAATATACCTTTTTGAAACTTTGTTAAATAGATTTTGTAACTAAAAGTAAATTTTATAATCTTCAAATAGTGCAATAAACCTCATTTTTCCTCTTTTATGCCAATGTGATAGACATCTGTAGTGGAAATTTGAGCTGAAACAACAAAAAAAAAATGCATATTTCATTTGTTCAAAAAGGAACATGTCATTTTGTGAATCTTCTAAACTGTTGCCTTTATCTTACCTGCTGGGGTTTGGAGAGAAAGATTTCTTGATAGACCAAGCCAGCTGCTTTGCTCTGCTGATGAGGTGGGGCTAGAGGGAATTTGTGGGTGGCTGTTGTAGGTAGGAGGATATAGTGAAATGAATCCTTCTCTTTGCAGGGAAGGAAGGAACACACACACACACACACACACACACACACACACACACACACATATATATATATATATATATATATATATATATATATATATATATATATATATATATATATATAATAGAAAAAAAAGCCAATCATGCTTGAATCAGATTTCACAAAATGTGTGCAATTTTTTGGGATAATATCAATTTTTATTTTATTTTATTTTTTTATTAATATGTACATTAAGTTGGGTGTGAGTTGTTTGGTTGCTCCCACCTGGAATTTGATATAACATACCTGGACATCCTTGCCATTTGTGAAACTTGGCTTTTAACTAAAAAAAAAAAAACAAAAAAAACAATTTCATATCTTTTTTTCCTCCTGTCCTTTAAGTGACCTTTTTCTTTCTCTTTTTTTCCTTTTCTGGAGAATTTAAATGATTAAATCTGATTATTTCCCTAGGCTACATTTTTCTTTTTCCACTAAATTAATAAAATATTAAAAATATTGCAGCTCTTAAAATGTTTTTGTCATAAAACTTATGTAATTATCTTTTTGAAGAATCATAACTGAACTGTTTGCATGAATTACAGTAAGAAATAAACAAAAAGAAATAGCAATGAATCTTTTGTAAAATTTTTGCTTTGAGATATTGAAATAAAATATATTCTGATGTAAAAACTAACAACTAATTTGTTTCCCAATTCAATTTTTATTGCGAATAACATATTTTAATTTAATATATCTATAAAGCATTTAAAAAAAACTTTTTTTGACTTTATTTTATAGTAATTATATTTTGTAATTCTTTTACAGTTTAAATAGTTTTTGGCTTGTAAATTAGGGGTGGACATATTGAATGTAAATAGTTTTTCCAGTGATTGTATTAAAGTTATTAAACCAAAGTCCAACATGAATAACAGTATTTTTTTATAAAAACTCTTTTAATAAAATTGTTAAATGGGCAAAATTAAAGAACAAATTTTTCATAACTTTACAACTTCTGAAAAATTAATTTTAAAATGACTGGTTGTTAACCCAGTTGTAATTTTGGAATGTAAAATATTTATATATAATTATAATTTTTAAAATTCTGAAACTACAACTGGGTTAATTTTAGCATATATCTAATTCTAGTTTTATCTACAAATTAAGACAGTTATGATAAATTTTATAAGATATATAATTTATAAGAATATATTTAATTCTGTATCTTATAGTTTGCTAATGTAATTATGCTCTAATTATTCTAAAAGGCTACTATTTCACTTTCCTATATCACATTTTTGTAGGATTTCTTTCTCACCAGGTATTTTCTTTATATAGACTTGTGCATACATGCATACCCACCCACACTAATCTCTCTCATATATATATATATATATATATATATATATATATATATTTTTTTCATTCACATATGAGGGGGTGTTGAGAATATCAGATTTCAATTTGTAAAAAATCTCTTCATGGTTGGGCCAAGAACTTTTCAGCACCCTATTGTGTGTGTGTGTGTGTGTGTGTGTATATATATATATATATATATATATATATATATATATATATATATTGACGGAGGGGGAGAAAATCTTATGTACCTAAGAATATTTCAAACATTATCTTTGCTCCCGAGTGTATATAAATAATATATTTTAATACTATGATTATTTTTTCTTTGCTGCAATATATACTGTGTGTGTATTTGTACAGGTTAAAGAGTTAACTATTATTCTGGTAATTATTTTAAGAAATAAATTTGGCATTTAAAATATTTTGTTTTAAATAATAAAATTGATTTTATATCTACTTTGTTTCATTTCAAACTGAAGTTCTTGAAGTCATTTTTCCAATTAGTTATTGGTCATGTGTTTGTGGAGTGCATTAAATTAAAAGCTAATTATTTGAATGATTGTTTTAATGAGAAAACCAGCGTTGTTCTTCTTATACAACAGCTGGGCATAGAATCACATGGTTTTTCATTACAGTTATTGCCATTCATGGTGCTTTCGTTCTTAACAATAGATTTTTCAACTCAAAATTTTCATCACCCAATTCCTCCCATTTCTCTTTAAAATTCCTCATCTATTCTGTTAGCCTTCCTTTTTTCTCAGACTTTAGATTTGTAAACCACACTCAATGTATTTAGGATGGGAATGTAGTTTGCCAGGTGGGATAAAAAACAAAAAAAAAATTGTGTGTTTGAGAGAGTTGGCAGCAGAAAAAGCTACTTACTCAAGAGAAAAATCCTGTCTTTTGTGCTTTTAAAACCACTCTGCTCATGTTGATGTCCACATGTTGACTGACTGCCTGGTTACATCCACTTTGAAACTGCCCACAAGTCAGGTTACCTGTCCTATGCATGGACTCTAATCCACTTCTTTTAGGTACTAAGGTAAAAGTTCCATAGTTTGAGCCCTGGTGTTTCTATGGTAACAATCCACAAACATGTGCAACACATTTTTTTTTTCCTCTTGTGTGTGTGTGTTTGTGTGTGTTGTAGTGCGGGATTTTCTCTTGTCTCGTCTAGATAATACTGCCCTCTGCTGATAGGAATGCTAACTACAGCTGGTTGAAGGGGACCAAATGCCTTTGGACACTTACAATTTGGCCCGATTTCAACCAGCTACAGACTAGCAGACTTATTGCGATATAGGAGCAAAATATCACTTCATTGCCCTGCACTACTAGTAGTAGTGGCGGTGTTGGTGCTGCCAGCCGGCCGGCAGCAGCAGCAGCATTGGTGAGAGAGATGACATGGTAATACCAATCCGACTGCCAGCAGCATGGAAAAGTTGGGATCAAGTCGTAGTTTCTGTTGTGAGCTGCAATCTTCATTCTAGTTTCAGTGTTAGTTTAGAATGGCAAAGGGCCAAAGCAATGCAGAGGGTGAATACTGGGCTAAGTACCACTCAGGGTGGGTGGAAGAATATGATGACTGGACCGCCAACACACACAGATCATTTCATTTTCTCTTTCATATTCTCTTTTTTTTTTTTTTTTTTTTTTCCTTCTCTCTCTCTCATACATGCACACATTCATGTTACCCTTTCTCTCTTTCAGTTAGGGAATAGGAAGATTAGGAGAAAGAAAAGAAAAAAAACATTAAATTCCTTATTTTATCACTCATCATGATTCCAGCCATAATATTGATAAAATATAAGCAAAAAAAAAAATCTAAAACAAACCACAAAGTCATTAAAAAAAAAAAAAGGTAAGGGTTGAAAAACTTGAAATGAAAGAGAGCAAGATATTAGTGCAGGCAAGGATTATCATCAACCAGGAGCAGGGGGCAGTAATTTGACGAGACAAGGGGGCAGTAGTAAGGGTAATAGTTATAGAAATGTTGTTGGTGGTGGTGGTAGTAACAGAAGGAATAATATTTGTACAAGGGTTTTTGCAGTTTAACTGGACACTTAGCTAAATTGAACATTTTTTTAAAAACTGTCTAGGCTCTATCTCACCTTAAATTTTTGCATACATCTGGAATGTCTTTTTTTTTTTTTTTGTGTGTGTTAACAAGTTAGGATGTAAATAAGTCAGATTAAAATCAGAATTTAGTCATGAATTGACTAAAACAGATCACTAATAGATAAGGTGACACATAAAAGTTGCTATTTTATTCTAGTTGTGTGTTTTAAAAATCTAGACATAATACTTTGTTATAGAAAATTGCTTTAACTTTGCTACAACCTCAAAATATAAAATTTAACAATGTTCAATCTTTCCAAAATTGTTAGTAAGGATTTGGTATTATTAGACTAATTGTACTTGAATGATGAATTCTAACAGAAATTAATTAAATCCTCTGAGTTAATATTAGAAATTGACAGTTACCTGAGTAGGTAAAACAAGAGATTTATACATTCACCTTTGTCTTGTTTTATTTTACATTACATTCACCTATAATTAAAGTTTTAAGTTGAACTTTTATCCATATTAGTTTTTAGATATTTTCAACACTAGTTTTTCAGTTTTGTATTGAGAATGCTGCTACCTGGAAATGTTGGTATTTCCACACATTGCCAGTTTCTCTTGTAACAAGAACGGTCCAAATCAAAAATTAGAGGAAGAACATTAAAAAAAGAATAAAATAAAAATAACAAATGCCCCTAGCAAAAAATTCAATGGTAACTGTATTGACAGGTGAGATTGAAAGCAAAAATTATTGTTCACATGCAGCTTAGATAATTAATTATAAGTAGCCAGCACACAGGATATTTTCTTTTCTTTACTTTTTCCACTTACTTACGGAATGTTTGTTGTACTGTACATGTCAGTTTGTGTCTTTGTGTTGTCTTGTCTTTGTCCTGTGTTCTTTTACCTCACCACCTCCACCACAACCACCACACCTCCATCACCACCACCTCTTCAGGTTCTTGCTAATTCTTCTTTTTCTTCTTCCTCCTCCTTCTTCTTACCTCTCCACCCTCTCTGTCTGACAAACTCCAAAGATACTGGGGCACTCTCCCCGCTCATTTTTTTTCTTTTTTTTTTCCTCTCCCTGGAGTCGGGTCTCTACCATCCCTTAATGTTGAGCAGCTCACAGCTTACCTGAGTGGCATTGTAAGTGAAGGCCTCCACGAATATATTGCACTCTTTATAGATGTAGACCAAGTCTTGGGTCCAGTCTACCCAAGACTTAAATATAGGAGCCACTCTTTCTTTACCCCTCACTCCCTTTCCCTTGTTTCTCCTCCTCCTCCTCTGGCACGTGCCTGTCTCTTGCATTTGTTCTTTTGTCACCTTTTCCTCCCCCATTACTTCGTTCCCTCCTCTCTCTAAAATCATCGATGACGCCGACGACGATGATTCTGCTGGGCATCGTCCCCATATAACGCCATCCACCAATTGTTGTGATAAATATAAGCTGTAACCCAGAACTGCAAATATAGGAGGAATTTCAGATATGTCTGTATTAATGAAGACTAGAAGCTGTATAAGACCTAGGGGTAGGAGAAGGAGGGGTGAGATGTATTTGGAGGGGGTCATACCTAGAGTTGGGGATTGTTGTAGGGTATGCAAAATATTATCCATTACTAGTATTAATAGGTGAGGGTATGGATGGCAGTTGTGGAGGGGGCATTACTCTACTCGTAAGCACTGTCATCATCATCAGCATCAGTAGCAGGCAAGTTAAACAGAATGCTCTCTCTCTCACACACACACTTTCTCTTCCCCCAGTTTGTTTGTTTTTATCTATCTTCACACCCAGATCATCTTCACCTCTGTAGTAAATCCTAGAAGCAGGCACACGACGAAAACTGTTGCCCGCTGCCTGTTAGGCCTAAAGCTGAGGGTAAAAGGCGACTGAGAACATCATCAGAGCATCTTCAGATATTTGAAGTATTCCCCCGTCAG